ACAAGAACAGAGTAAATTTAGAACAGGCAAGTTTCTAGCTGAATAAGTTTCCAAACAGCTGTACTCAAAAGCCCTGAAAAGCCTTGCAGTATTCACAGATGTACTAACATGCAGATTAGTAAGAGGCTCAAACATGATCATCAACACGTTTGTGGCAACCACACACAAATTTAGTTTAGCACCTTTTATCTGTCATATTCAGAGTAACAGTACAGGTGCTCTTCTGAGACTTTGAGGTTGGAGGCAGGAGGAATGCAAGAAGATTTCAGCCAAATTTGGATGTTGAAGAAGACACGAGGAGGAAGTGGGTTGTGGTTGGAATGACCTGGTTCCCATCTGAGTTGTTCTACAAACTCCTTGTGTGACTTGAGCTTCACCTCTATGAGCCCACTTTCTTACACCAGGATTTCCATACCCTTTCAAAATTGTAACAATGTCTCCTATGTGGAGGCAATTTTACTTCATTGCCTTCCAGGAACGACAGAATCCCATTTCTAAATGGGACTTCAAGGAAGAAGCTAGTAAGTGAGGAGTCAAACCTAGGTCTCCCACCTCCAGAACTAAGCTCTGGCCCATAGACCGTGAAGTACATCCCCCACTCAGGCTAGCAACAGGTCTGGATCATTTCATAAGGCCATTCCTAGTTTTGAAAAATCTCGAGTGCCCAGCATATAGGGAAGATGCCCATGAAGATGACTAATACTCTTTGGGATTTCATTCGGTGGCTTTTTGAGATTAGAGTATCACTCAGGGGAAACAACATAACTGAAACTTTTCTACCCTCTGTCAAGGGGAATTACTCAGATTTACAGGAGGTATTTCCCTATGAAATCTGTCACCAGTGTTTATGATGACAGAGAGAAACCAAGGTAAACTTGAACTTGTTACCATTCACGGAGTACTGACAACCGGGCATCATCTTTGGTTGGGGCAAGCAAATGACCACTGCCAAGTTGAGATGGAGAGGTCACCTCCTAGGGCAGTGATGGCGAACCTATGACACACGTGTCAGAGGTGACACGCAAACTCATTTTTTTGGTTGATTTTTGTTAAATGGCATTTAAATATATAAAATAAATATCAAAAATATAAGTCTTTGTTTTACTATGGTTGCAAATATCAAAAAATTTCTATATGTGACACGGCACCAGAGTTAAGTTAGGGTTTTTCAAAATGCTGACACGCCGAGCTCAAAAGGTTCACCATCACTGTCCTAGATAAATATCAAAAATATAAGTCTTTGTTTTACTATGGTTGCAAATATCAAAAAATTTCTATATGTGACACGGCACCAGAGTTAAGTTAGGGTTTTTCAAAATGCTGACATGCTGAGCTCAGAAGGTTCGCCATCACGGTCCTAGGGTAAGGGACTTGTGTGAACCACCCCCAGATGGTGATTTTTACAGGACCCTTGCAGGCCCATGGGGTCTTGGTCTCCTTCACTAGGCCATTATTTTATTTTGCATCAACACCCAGAACTCAGCTCTCCTGCAGGTGCAGAGGGAAGCAGGGAACCAAGGCTGTGAGGTGGTGCTTCATGAAGCCTGGGGCGTGGAGGACTGCAGTGGCCAGGGTCCTCAGGAAGAAGAGAAGCCACCTCTGCCACAAGGGCCCCTCTTCTCTTCTCCCCGTCCCTCTCCTCCTCTCAGGTCGTCATCCTCTCCTCTGGCCAGGCCCACCCTGCCCTCCCGCCTTGGCTGTGTGTTGGCTCTTACCTGCTGCTTGCACTGTGGTCATGGCTAACTTCAGTGAGCTGCCCCTGGGTGGTGAGAGGGAGCCTGAGGACTGGGTTGGGAAAAGACCCCTTATGCTCCAGCAGAAGACCGGCTGTGACCAACAACATGAATGAGTGGTGGAGGAGAAAGCCACGGGGGACGAGCCATCTCAGATGGGGTGACCGGGGAGGAACTGGGCAGGGCCGGTTCAGAATGCAGGCTCACAATCCTTCCCTACCACGAAGATTCTCAGGTTCTGAGCCTGGAGTCCTGCCACGAGGAAGAGGCTCACAGTGCCACTTACCACATTTCACTCTGGGAGCTGGAGAGGTTCAGGAAATTGCCTGTTTAATTCCACTGCCAAGGCAATTCCTGATAATAACCATAACCATGAGAGGGACCGTAGGGCCAGTGAGTGAGGATAAAATGTGGCAGGCACCAAAGACAAAGTCCCGCAGTAAGGCTTTTTCCTATGTCCATGACTAGGCAAGAATGGCTCCCTTGATTCCAGGAACCAAGCCCTCCCCAAATGAGACCATCATTCATTCGTCCGTTTTTATGGGTCATTTTCCTTACTTTCCTAGGACAAGTTCCTTCTGCAGTTCCAAAGTAGACTTAACAGAAAGGGAAATGCAGTTCTATACCTCTGCCAGGAGAAAAGGTGTACCAGGTGCTGTGCCTACAGGTATCCAGGTCCAGAAAAGCAAGGGCTTTTGGGAGGAGCCCAGCAAGGCCCACTCTGTCCAGGCCATTCCCTATGTTCACTGACTAGCAATACTTCAGGCTGGCTGCTGCAGGCTAAAAAGTGGAACAGATGTGAAATGGAGAGAGAGAGAGAGAGAGAGAGAGAGAGAGAGAGAGAGAGAGAGAGAGAAAAGACATGGGATCAAACCCGAAACCTTGGCTCATCGGGACAACATTCCAAATAAATGAGCTACCCAGCCAGGACCTGAAGAATAATTCTTTTTTTTTTTTTAAATTAAATCTTTATTGTTCAGATTATTACAATTGTTGTTCCTCTTTTTTTCCCCCCATAGCTCTCCTCCACCCAGTTCCCACCCCACCCTCTGCCCTTACCCCTCCCACTGTCCTCATCCATAGGTGTACGATTTTTGTACAGTCTCTTCCCGCACCCCCCACACCCTTTTCCCCCCCAACAATAGTCAGTCCACTCCCTTTCTATGCCCCTGATTCTATTATATTCACCAGTTTATTCTGTTCATCAG